CGTGCGAACGGGTACGATGAAAACAGGCAAAGGGTCATAATCGAGGCGAACCAAGTGTTCGAATTATGGCTGGAATTATGGAGTTATGGAGTTATATTTTGGCTGGAATAACGAGTCAATGCATAGTCCAATCGCGAAACGAAATCGACATCCGGTTTGTAGATTTTCGTGCAGATTTCGGTCGATGGCAGGATTTGCAAAGCATGTGTACCGTCAACTTAGCGTCAGTAGATATTTTATTCCAAATCTGTTCATGCTTTTAACCAAGGAACTCACGTGATTTGATGCACTTCGCGGAGTATGGCCCGTTTTATTATAATATGGATCTTGATTATCGATCAGATCGTCTTCAAACGGCGAAATCTGATTGGTCAGTAGGAGGAACAGAGTAGTAACCATGCGCTATGAAAATGGTGTATCATAATTCACGCGTTATATGTGTCCATGAATGAGGTGTATCATAAAATACCTGCTTTATTGCGTTCATGAAAGCGGAGAATCATAGAGAACGTGCTATCGGGGTCCAATTGTACCTGTGCATATTTACTGATTTTCAAACATAAGATGTATAATATACCCACCAGCAGTTGTTTATTATGCGTATTTTATTCAAATATTTAGAAGTTTTAAATCATTTTTTTTCTTTTAAAAAGAAGACCACCAGTTCCCTTTTAGGAAACATATCGCTATCTAGACATTTTAAATTGCTTATGATTAAAATCACTGAGAGGTATAGTTTATTTTCTCCTCAGTTTATATATGAGGGTACATTGTATCATGAATCACGTGACACATATATCTGAGGGTATTGTATCATGAATCACGTGACACATATATCTGAGGGTATTGTATCATGAATCACGTGACACATATATCTGAGGGTATTGTATTATGAATCACGTGACACATATATCTGAGGGTATTGTATCATGAATCACGTGACACATATATCTGAGGGTATTGTATCATGAATCACGTGACACATATATCTGAGGGTATTGTATCATGAATCACGTGACACATATATCTGAGGGTACATTGTATCATGAATCACGTGACACATATATCTGAGGGTATTGTATCATGAATCACGTGACACATATATCTGAGGGTATTGTATCATTAATCACGTGACACATATCTGAGGGTATTGTATCGTGAATCACGTGACACATATATCTGAGGTTATTGTATTATGAATCTCGTGACACATATATCTGAGGGTATTGTATCATGAATCATGTGACACATATATCTGAGGATACATTGCATCATGAATCACGTGACACATATATCTGAGAGTATTGTACAATGAATCACGTGACACATATATCTGAGGGTATATTGTATCATGAATCACGTGACACATATATCTGAGGGTACACTGTATTATGAATCACGTGACACATATATCTGAGGGTATTGTATCATGAATCATGTGACACATATATCTGAGGATACATTGCATCATGAATCACGTGACACATATATCTGAGAGTATTGTACCATGAATCACGTGACACATATATCTGAGGGTACATTGTATCATGAATCACGTGACACATATATCTGAGGGTACACTGTATTATGAATCACGTGACACATATATCTGAGGGTATTGTATCATGAATCACGTGACACATATATCTGAGGGTATTGTATTATGAATCACGTGACACATATATCTGAGGGTATTGTATCATGAATCACGTGACACATATATCTGAGGGTATTGTATCATGAATCACGTGACACATATATCTGAGGGTATTGTATCATGAATCACGTGACACATATATCTGAGGGTACATTGTATCATGAATCACGTGACACATATATCTGAGGGTATTGTATCATGAATCACGTGACACATATATCTGAGGGTATTGTATCATGAATCACGTGACACATATATCTGAGGGTATTGTATCATTAATCACGTGACACATATCTGAGGGTATTGTATCGTGAATCACGTGACACATATATCTGAGGTTATTGTATTATGAATCATGTGACACATATATCTGAGGATACATTGCATCATGAATCACGTGACACATATATCTGAGAGTATTGTACCATGAATCACGTGACACATATATCTGAGGGTATTGTATCATGAATCATGTGACACATATATCTGAGGATACATTGCATCATGAATCACGTGACACATATATCTGAGAGTATTGTACCATGAATCACGTGACACATATATCTGAGGGTACATTGTATCATGAATCACGTGACACATATATCTGAGGGTACACTGTATTATGAATCACGTGACACATATATCTGAGGGTATTGTACCATGTATCACGTGACACATTTATCTGAGGGTATTGTATCATGAATCACGTGACACATATATCTGAGGGTATTGTATAATGAATCACGTGACACATATATCTGAGGGTACATTGTATCATGAATCACGTGACACATATATCTGAGGGTATTGTATCATGAATCACGTGACACATATATCTGAGGGTATTGTATCATGAATCACGTGACACATATATCTGAGGGTACATTGTATCATGAATCACGTGACACATATATCTGAGGGTATTGAACGTCGCTATATAAGTGCAATAATCTTGGACGCGACGTTAAACCCCATTTCACCTCACCTCACCTCACCTCTGAGGGTATTGTATCATGAATCACGTGACACATATATCTGAGGGTATTGTAACATGAATCACGTTACACATATATCTGAGGGTATTGTATCATGAATCACGTGACACATATATCTGAGGATACATTGTACTTTGAATCGGTTGAAAGATACATCTGAGGGTACATTGCATCATGAATCACGTGACACATATATCTGAGGGTACATTGCATCATTAATCACGTGACACATATATCTGAGGATTTACTTCCTACATATCAGAGGCAGGAAGGCGATTTGTAGAAAATTTGCTGCGTGAAACCCCGTAAGTCCAGTCTAACGAGGTTTCAATGTATTTTTGCCATATTCACGTTGCTTGTGTATTTGTCTGGATTAACGAATCAAGGGTAGGAAGTAGTACCGTATTCGACAAAATAAACGCCAGGGGCGCTCTCAAAAATAGAAATGGGGGCTCTTATTAGAATATTATTATGGTGAAAGATCGTAAATTTCGTGGTTAATGCTGACAGCCTGAAATGAAATATTTATATACGACAGATATATTTTTCCGTAATTTAATTGCCCATAATTGTGGGTGCATATAACACACGAGTGCGTCTTATACAATCTTGTGTACATTGATCAATCGGAAGGGGTGCTAATTGGGATTGTTCCCTGGCCAAAATATCAGCAAATATCGCCGTGGGCGCCGGAGCGCTTATTACGTCGAATACGGTATGCCTTTTATTATAGATAGTCGTTCGCAATAGTAGCCTACTGGGATGCCGTTTATATAAATGGGGTCCGGTATTACAGGGGTTTGGTTTATTCCACATTCAAGAGTTATAACGTCTATACTGTCTCAGAACATCGAACGTGTCTTTACGTACAGCACCTCGTGTGATACCTCTCGGTGACTTCTCCTGGTAATTTCAAAAAAATATTTTGCTGCCCATCAAACGAAGCGATTTGACAACAGAAGCACAGGTATTTGCGTCCGAAACCCCTTATTTAGCAAAACAATTATCCATATTTCTCATCGATAAATATCAAATTAACTATCATTTAGTGAGTGAATGAGTTGGGTTTAACGCCGCTTTTAAAAGCATTTCAGTTATATCACGGCGTGTCAGCTTAATCTGGGAGGAAAGCCCGAAGTGATGCAGGTCTTAGACGTTTACCACTTCGGTGAAACCCACGAGCACGGGTATGGTGCTGACAAACCTAGAAACCTAATCGGGCCGAACCGGGATTCGAACCCACAATCATAGGTTTCTGGCGTGCCCAACTCTGCGCAGCGAATCGTGACGCCTTAGACGACTGGGCCGCCCGTGCCCCCACTATAACTGAGATGACATAAAGTTTGCTTCGTTCATGTACAGGTAAGGAGGCAGGCTCTGATAAATTTGCATTTCTCAAAAATTTGGAACAGTCCATTCATGGTTAACAGACACACAGTATGCGTATCTCCTAAATAAACCATGACAAAATTAGCGCGAACTTAATGTCAATGAAGTGCCATTGGTTGCGTACAATGTTTAAAGCGGGTTGTCGATTTGACTTAAGCAAATGCTGATAATACTTGAGTATTATAATGAGTATGGCGCTGTTTTTGTTAAAACAAAAGTGAAATACACTCTCTCGTGTTTGCTGTCCAATATTTATTGTAGCACTTGTGCAACTCAGCATTTTGCAGGCTATGAGTGTATATTTTACTATTTCGAAACGCTTACGGACATTAGCGGACAAAAGTAACCGTGCTTCATGTTGTTATCGAAAACAACAGGGGACAGCGCGACAAACCCTAAAAGAGAGGTTGTGAAACACTCAATTAACAATGAGCGAGTGAGTGAGTATGGTTTTACGCCGCTTTTAGCACGGCGGGGGACACCAGAAATGGGCTTCACACGTTGTACCCATGTCGGGAATCGAACCCGGGTCTTCGGCGTGACTAGCGAACGCTTTAACCACGAGGCTACCCGACCGCCCCTTACGGACAATGATCTAGAAAGAAGTACAACACTGCTTTTCGCATTGATGCACCGTCAAATCAGCTGTTTCAATCAGACGTTGTTAATATGATTTGAAACCACTGATTGACTAATCTGAATCGAGTTTTTTCGATGGTAGAATAATTAAATTGCAAATGTTTCCAATTTACACAATGTGCATACCTGATTTTACGTTTATACACATGTACCTCCCTAAACGCTAATAATAATAAAATTCTTACATAAAACATACTATCTGGATCAAAAAGGCACGAATGTCTAACGGTAGGACTAATTGTAGGACCTAGATCTACACTTTGGCATGAAACCAATAATTTTAGCCTTGCCCCCTTTATAATGTCATACCCAATACTTACCATAATACAGTGAATGAATCTCGTCAACCAGGGTATCCGAGCTGTTGATCTGTTTGTCGACCAGTTTACAGGCATGACTCTCGGTGTTGAAGAAGAAGGAGATGCAGACACTGTTTGTCGTACACAATGATGCACAATGACGTTTTGACATCACTGACGTAAATCCCACTGTGACCTCATTCTGTACTGTCTTCCCGTCAAGATCCCATTGTCTCTTGTATAGTTTAAACCGTTTACCATCTTCCTCGAAACTACTGCTAATAAAAAGAGTGAACACGCTTAACCACAAGAACTTCATCTTCCACAGCGACGATTCTCCATCAGAGATCCTGTTTTATCCCACTGGACTATGGTTTTGTAAAAGAAACAAGTTTTCATACATCTGAAATCCTGAGTTTCCTCATTGTCATGTGCCGCTACGGAGTTTCCTTGTATGCAATTAAGAAAATGAAAAACAGTTTCAACCTTCAATACTTGCCACGAGCATAGAATTCAGTTTCAATAACTCCTTTGTTTCGCCTTGTTGATTGACTTCTTATTCCAATTGTAAAATGGAAAATTCCAGGTGCATGTTTGAGTTGAAGACGTTCCGGTGAGTAATTAACTTTGTTTTTCTAAAAGTTATTTTCACTCAGCAGGTGGACGTTGTCACGCAACATCTACGCTCTCCAGTCGATGTACACAATATGGAAAGCTGCGGTAAATTGGACGATACCGGTGGCGCATCGATCTGCTTTGACACACAATTGCAATAACTCTCAGGGGTTCTGATTTGTATGGCTGTACTGTTTGTAGTGGGTTATTGGGTTTCAAATAGAGCGTATTATGTATTTATTTATTCATTTATCGTGTTCCTTCTAAATGTTTGTGCGTATGTAGGTTATTGAGTCATAATATTCCCAAATGTTTCATGATATAATTTGCACAAAGGGCATGTAATTAAAAAAAGACTTACTAAAATGCATAGCTTTATCCATACTCGGGAACTGCTTTGCAAGGAACATCCACCTTTCTTCGACTTCAGACATTGGTCACGTACGTATTTCGACAACTGTATTGGATTGAACATGGGTTGTATCCCTGTCATCCCCAATTATTTCCTCTGAACCTATCTATGGAAACATCGCCATATTTCCAAAATGTGTCTCCCCAAGACAAGACACAAGACACTAGACACAAGACACTAGACACAAGACACAAGACACTAGACACAAGACACAAGACACTAGACACTAGACACAAGACACTAGACACAAGACACAAGACACTAGACACAAGACACAAGACACAAGACACTAGACACAAGACACTAGACACAAGACACTAGACACAAGACACTAGACACAAGACACTAGACACAAGACACAAGACACTAGACACAAGACACTAGACACAAGACACTAGACACAAGACACAAGACACAAGACACTAGACACAAGACACTAGACACAAGACACAAGACACTAGACACAAGACACTAGACACAAGACACTAGACACAAGACACTAGACACAAGACACAAGACACTAGACACAAGACACTAGACACAAGACACTAGACACAAGACACTAGACACAAGACACAAGACACTAGACACAAGACACTAGACACAAGACACTAGACACAAGACACAAGACACTAGACACAAGACACAAGACACTAGACACAAGACACTAGACACAAGACACAAGACACTAGACACAAGACACTAGACACAAGACACAAGACACTAGACACAAGACACTAGACACAAGACACAAGACACAAGACACTAGACACAAGACACTAGACACAAGACAAGACACAAGACACTAGACACAAGACGCACGAACTCATAGCTTTTGGATATGTCACGTGATGGTAGCTATAATGGGTTTTACTTTCCTTCCACAATCTATCAATGACAATGTCGACAGAGAAACTGTGCTTCATGTAAAGTTCATTAAAAATGAATTTGTTCTGAAATTAATTAATGTGTCTTTCAACATGTTCAATACATATTCATGAAGTCATTGCTGTACTGCCACGGCAGGCTGTTTTTCAAGACTAACGAATGTTTGGGATGAGATGTGCCGACGCATACGACGGGACCAGAACCAGCCGGTAACTCTAGCTCAGCTGGGCCAATCTTTGGTTGATATTTGGAACAACATCCCCCTCGCTGTTTTCTACCATCTGGTGTCTTCAATGCGCCGCCGCTGCCTTGTCTGAATTAACTCAGAGGTGGTCACATCCGTAATGACATTGTTAATTGGGGGAGGTCGGCTAGCCTCGTGGTTAAAGCGTTCGCTCGTCACGCCGAAGACCCGGGTTCGATTCCCGACATGGGTACAATATGTGAAGCCCATTTCTGGTGTCCCCCGCCGTGATATTGCTAAAAGCGGCGTAAAACCATACTCACTCACTCACTCATTGTTAATTGAATGTTTCACAACCTCTCTTTTAGGGTTTGTCGCGCTGTCCTCTCTTGTATTTGATAACAACATGAAGCACGGTTACTTTTGTCCGCTAATATTAATAATAAACTTTTCAGACTTGAAGTGGTATCAATTCTCTTTGAAGTTGAGCTAAACCTATGAGACCTTTTGGTTTATAAATTTACTGCAGAAAGAATCTAAAGATCAAACTTAGACTGGAGTTACCTACTTTTGAAACCAAATAAGGCAGAGCGGTTGATAATTTGTATTCTTAATGAGTGATCTACAGTAAACTACGGTTATAACGAACTCAAAGGGACCACCCATTTTAGTTCGTAATAACCGTAGTTCGTTATAAGCATATATGCAACACATGGCCGGGGCTAACAAGTAAGTTCGTTATATCGGTCAGTTCGTTATAAGCGTGTTCGTTATAACCGTAGTTTACTGTAGTTATAAAGTGATCGGCATTCTGTTATAAAGTTCGAATGCAACTAGTATATGGTTTCTGAAACTGGTTCATGATATTTAGTTGTCAGCACAATTCCTGCTTTCCATTCTTGCAATGAAGTGGTAAACGTCTAAGAACTGCATCACAAAAGTGTTTGACTCTCTTTTATCAAGCTGACACGTCGCGAGATAACTCAATACATGTTCTGTTTAAAGCTGACAGACAACTACAAAACGACAATTCCGACATGCATTTGAAATGACACAAAAGGACAACAGTTAGGGAGGGGTGGGTGGTTGTATCGAAATTAGATATATTTTCAGTTACTGCTTTTGTCTGCTACAAAACCAGATATCTTTTAATATAAATCTGTGAGCCTGAATTTTTATCGATATAAACCCAGCACACACACACAATATATAATCTGTATTGGCGTTTACAATAGCCTCTGTTTTACGTCACTGATGCAGTCAAATAATCACAATACATGTTCCTGGTATGGAAATGATTGCTTACTTTCAAACCTTTTATGGATAATGAACGGATGATATTGAGCTCAGATACGAATCTTGACCGATAATGAACTTATTAGCTCATCTTGGAGCACCCTATGATTTTAAATAAGGGTTTTCGTGCTTACCAATATTTGATAAATTTGTTTTCTACTCATGGTGAAGTCGAAACTGACTTTCACTTTCTCCAGTGGATCATGGACTTGTTGTTCTCTATGCTGAGTGTGCCTGAAATGTGACTGAATATCCAATCACCATATCTATCATGAAACTGGCACAGCACATGTAGCAAGAATCGATATATGATTGATATCGAACGCTGGGAATTAATTCATACACAAAACATCGTCCAAAGCTAATGATAACGTTTTAAAAAAATACGTCATTTTTAACCTTGTAGGTGTCCATTATTAAAGTGACAATCAAACACACCTTCCTTACAGAATTGTTATGCATGGGTTATCACCAGTTGTAACTCACAAATCCTAAGTAATTTTGTAAAGTGCGACCAAGTTCGTTGTTATTTGAAAATCAACATCCCCAGTTACCAATAGGTTATCACATGAACGAAATCACCGCTCAGAGGACCACGCTCGCCCTGGTTCTACCATTATCTACTGTCTACTCGCTGCCAGTATCCACTGGTCAATGGTTCCTGTCTGAAATTCGGAATAATCAATGAAGTATTGACGGTAATGTAAAACGCATTGAGATTGATTTGTTCCAACGAGCCCTGACGGGGATCAATCTCCCCGCTCTCTCAGCGTAAAAAATATAAATCAAAACATCCCCAGTTACCAATAGGTTATCACATGAACGAAATCACTGTTCACCACGCTCGCCCTGGTTCTACCACTATCTACTGTCTACTCGCTGCCAGTCAAGGGTTCCTGTCTGAAATTCGCCTTATCATGGTCTTCTTTTAAAATTGATGAAGGGGAACGGTTGGCCCAGTCATTATACGCGCCGTAATACGAGTAAAAATTGCGTCCCTTAGGCGGACCAGAATCCTAAGATCGTGGGTTCGAATCCCAGATCCCATGTTACTTGCATGTATTGCATTTAGCTGTTTGTAAGCTATATCTGAGGTAACTAAGAACCACCTCTCCACAAACGAAACGCATTAAAGTTATCAAATGGTGAGAGAGCCTTTGCCGTAATGACTTTAGGCATTATGGTCATCGTGTTCCTTTCCTTAAGTGATATTAAGCAGAACGCGACATCGATGTCCAAATCGTTGAATCCTCCTCATTACATTGTGCAGCGTTGCGCCCCATAGGCGTACCGGAAACCTTTGCTCGTGGCTCGAGTCCTATATTCTCACTTATTATGTGTCCACTTGAAAATTTCAAAATGTTTTAATCTGCATCACTTCGGGCTTTTCTCCCACATCGAGCTGACACGCCGTCAAACAATTGAAATACTGTTCAAATCGTCGTTAAACCCATCTTCCCGAGGCAAGGGAGTTACCTGACTGTAAAAGTCCAGTTTCCACCCTTGCCGGACTAGTATGGAATTCTGGAGTCACATCGTCTAATCGTCCAATCAAAATCAGGCTACGAACTAGACATCCGGTTCGTAAACAACGTGGATTTCAACATCCAGATTTCGATCGAACTTCAGGATTTGTAAGTTTGTGTACCGCCAACTGAGCGTAGACAGATATGTTTTAGATTAAGTTCTTTCACGCTTTTAATCAAGGTGCTCACGCGATTTGATGCACTTTGATGCAAGGTAAGACCCGTTTATTACGATATAGATATTTATTATCGAGCAGATCGTTTTGACTGGGCGCCGCCGTTTTGTCTGAAGCAAATGCAAGTGATATGAGAGATGGAATGTGATTGGTCAATAGAAGGAACAAAGAAGGGGCATAACTCGTAATAGCCATTAGTGGCGCTACGAGCGAGCCTGGAAATTCCACCATAGTTCGGCAAATGGTGGAAACTGGTTTTCTGTAGACAGTTGTAGAAGATGTAGTCAGGACTGGTACAATCTGACAGACACATGCATGCACATCGCTTTAAGTGAAATAATCTTAAACGCGACTTTAAACCTCATTTCAGCTCACCTTTAGACGTCTCAAAATGACGCTGCTCGAAGATAATATTGAAGGTTGTTGTTGGATATTCACGTATTTAATTTTCAAAGCGAACTGGGATTTGAACAATCAACGGCTCGACTTGGCAGCAGCGTTTTAGACAAATGCCACCATTAGGCCTTGAAAGACAAAGTTCATCAAGACAACAGCAACAGTAGCTATTGCACATGGTCATGGGCCCTACATTTCTTTCTTCGGTTTAAGGCGCGTTGAAGAAAAAACATATATGAAAACTCGGT